CAACACAGTCAACATCACAAACAGTACCGATCAAAATCACAAACACGCAACTGTTGATATTTACATCTTGTTTCCATTATGTAATCTTCTAGGTTGAAGCCATTTGATATGGTGTATGTCGTTATGTTTTCAATAGATAAGTGTGTCGCTCAATATTATCGCCAGCTTTTTGTACCAAAATGTCTTCACATTTTAATGAAATATTAAACCAAATGAAAGGAAAACATCAAAAACATTGCTCTTTTATAGAATTATTTTCAGAAAGACAATTTTTTCGAAGCAATCCGATGAGGAAAACGAATCCTTAAATTGTGCTTCTTAGACTCCGTCGTCCATCTACGCTAAAGTTCGGCGAAAGAAAGTAATCCAAAATTTTGATTTAGTCGAAACTTGGATTTTGGTTTAGAGTCTGTTTCAGTTGAGTTCAGATTGAGAATAGGTTTCAAACCCATTTTTGCAAAAAAATTACTGAAATCAATTACCTAAAAAAGATTGAGTAAAATTCTTTTAAAATTGAGTAAAAAAATTAAATTGAGTAAAAAAATTCTGTTCCGTAAAGCAGATAGGCGACCTACCTATCGTTCTGCTCTTCTCTCTTATTGAAATTCTCCGATTGGATGCGATTCGGAGTGCGTGAATCTCGTCCGAAAGNCTATCGTTCTGCTCTTCTCTCTTATTGAAATTCTCCGATTGGATGCGATTCGGAGTGCGTGAATCTCGTCCGAAAGTAATCCGATTCAGCCAATTTCGGGACGATGGCATCAATTCTGCTGATTTATTCCCTCTTTTTGGATCCGCAACCAAATTTTGGTAATTCTGAACGAAGGGGAAACTGATACGCTGCTCTTCTTGAACTTCACGAACCTCTTCTTCGAGCACATACCGTCTGGAATATTCGTTTGTTCCAAGAATTTGTGAGAAAGACTTTTAAATTGATTGGAATCGATCAGAAATTGATCAAATTGCTTAGAAAGTGATGAAAACTTTTTTTCCGTCTTTCTGTTTCCTCATTCAACCGGATCCGATTGATTTCGAAAGAAGTGAGGTCATGCCGTCGAGTCTCCGGATTATTAAGGAACAATTCATTAGTCTTGTTAGGTGATCACGCACGTGCTCCAGTTGGATGCCTTCATATAAACGTGGCGTTGGTTTGGAGGACATTCATGATTTTCTCAATCCGATTCTTCAACATTTACTAGTGGCTGCTATAATTTTTAACTGCTAAAACTCTGATCATTCGTTGTATTGCTATCGTCGTTATTTTCAAACCAGATTGTCTCGAACTGATGAACTAATTATTTCTTAGTCCTTTGGGAGTCGACATGGCCAATGGAGGCTACTGGCTCATGGTTGCTTGCGAGTTGGAACTGTGCTGAGCAACGACCGCGTAGAACGGAAATTTCAAAATCTACAGTTTATCCATCCAAAAGGTCACTCGCTCACATCTTCACAGTTAATATGAATACTTTGATGTCATTTTTTGGTAGTTACATCGAGCAGCAACTATCAATCACCATTTTGTTGTCACTAAAGAAACAAGAGCAGTACTTACTCGCCATTGATGAACATATTTTGACGCCTTCTGCTCGTTATGGACCTGATATCAAACCTTCTCTCATACACCATCCTTCTTCTTTCACTTGTTCAAAACTGTGCTTACACGGCCAATTCAGTTATCTCCCCTGAAAGTAACAATTTGCAATTGAGTTAGTCACATCGAAGTCACCCATTGACTAATCAAGCGAAATGTACGTGCACAAGCGATGTTTTCCGAACTCTGTTTTACGAGAACTCTGATTTTCTTTTCATTTCTACGTCAAAAGCAGTTGTTAAGTGTACGCAAGATAACGAACAAGACTTCTCAGAAGACCTGCATGAAGATGGAGGATTAAAATGGAGAGGGAATTTGGAAAGACCTGTCAAAAAAAGCAAACTCAAGAACCAACTGGAAGCGCAATGTGGCCAAAAACGATGCTACTGAAGGGAAATCAACGGCTTGACCAATCCAGGGACATGCTGCTCTTTANGATAAATTAATATGTTTAGCTGAATAGGGAAGGAAGTATAGAGATAAATGAAGAAAACACTGATACTTATGATGTTGTTTGTGATAACGCAAAGACATAAGCTCGTAATGGTGATTATTGCAATTGAAGATTACTAATTGACAAATGTCTCAGTTCACTGAAAGTAATAAAAATAAGTTTCGAGTTAATTTTTTGCACATTTGAATCTAATATGAGTCAAGCAATAGAATCGTTCGAATTAATTTCATTTGATGATGAAGAAATACGCATTGAATATAATGCACGAAAACAATACTGCAAAATGATATCACTGCGAGAGCAAAATCGCAAAATTACAATCGTGAGAACAGGACGACGTTTTCTGTGCATATGAATGGACGCAAGCAACAATCAACATCATTCTGTCTTCTTAACTTAATGCCTGCGTGCCATATCTCAGGTATAAACGATTAGCTTGAAGGAAAATGACAGCGATGACTTGCTAAGGGATAAACAATGGAAACGAGAAAGAGACAGTGCAGATTTACGATCACATCGAGGATATTTCTCATATTGTTCTCCTTTCATCTTCTGCTATTAGTGATGAATTCCTTCATAGAAGAAATGAAAACCGATTGGTTTATGATGAAGCGATATCTGTCGTATGTCGTCAAACTCTAACGACAAATATCACAACACTAAGCTCATTTGTAGTGTTGATGGTGAAATTGATGACAATATCAGTGAGGATACTACGCTGACATACACGTACATTATCAGTGCTGCTAAGATTGCTATCAATTTTAGTATCAGATAATTAGATAATAGATACAAGCCGGATCATAGCCTGGCTCA